AAATTCAACTCTAAAATGTCCACTCCTTCATAATAACCCTAAAAATGTCAACTTAATCTTTTGCCCTTATAAGGTATTGGTGTAATCGAGACCTTTTCGATTAAGCGCTGAATGTAATAACTGCTTCACGTATTTTATAATAATGCGTAGTCCATATTGACGATAATTCCTTAAAACATGATTTTTATTAAACGTATTATATTCGTTAAAATTTAAAATATTAAGCTCCATCATCACTATTATTCATTGTTCGTTGCCGGATATATGTATATATGTTATATAATGTTTATTATATAATGTTAATCCCTAAATTAAAACGACAACATGAATATAATATTAACTCGCAAGAAATAACTAGAAGCAATATATTTTGGAATCAATTCATGTCGTAAAACTAAATTGAACTAAACGAAATTGGAATAAAGAGTTTTTAATACTTATTTTACTGTTATTTATTCTGTGCTTTTACGTTAAATGAAAACTAGATATTTTAGTATTATGTTTGAGTAACATTTCGTTCTCGCTTTCGTTTCAACTGTAATTTAACGGTTACGAGGTAATCAAATTCGCATCCTGTGATTCAATGGCGCGCTAACTATCCGCTGAGCTAGCACGGCTTTTACTTCTAAAAGTAATACGTAAGTAACTTTCGAACCGATTTCAAAAGCGACAATTGAACAACGTTTTGGACGTCAAATTGAGCAAGAGATAGTGACGGTTACGTAAGGATAATTTCACTGCATGAAAAGTATTTGAAAGTAAGTGGCGGTTTTTATCGTTTGTTTTTACGTAACAATGGTTCACATTTTTTTTGATTCAGCGTCTTCGCAAATATTGCACAGGTTTCCAATTTAATCAATTTAGTCTCTCATATTTCATATTTACATAGTAGATAGTACCTACATATTATGATGGTTACTGAGTACGTATACATAATTTCTGAATTTAAGATATCGTTTCACGTAATAGCAATGCCTTGTTCAGTATCAGAAATATTATTATAATATCTACTAAGTATACTCTAAGATCTACGATCAGAATAAATATATTGTTAAATAGCTGTTATCTTTAAAGATAACTATTATTAAGTGGCGAAGTATGCGAAGTCACTTATTGATTTCACGATGTCTGTCCGTCTGTCCCACGATTATCTCGAGAACGGTTTCGAATTTTCAAATTCTGTTTTCAGCAATCGATTACTGATCACCCAGGCATCTGAACCTCCTATTTTGAAACTGATTGCTCAACGGCAACCGTTAGAAACCGCTACAAAGCTGATTGCTTCGCCACTTTGCTATGCTGTTAGCTTGCTAAGTTTATTTTTCTTTATTTCACTGGTCTACCTCGGAACTTAACTGGTACTTACCCGAGCGGACCCCGGGTATATATACCACACTTCTTACCTATTTCTGCCGCTAAATAGCGGAGCTTGTACAGCTGTGTTCCGGTCTAAAGTTTATACAGAGCCAGTATAATCACAGGCTGTGAGTACTTCCATCTTATTCCTCAGAGGTGACACCGCATCTGTAGCTTCCCTACACACCCCCAGCCAGCTTCAAAGAAAAGTCCATGGGGACTGCAGTAACCACTTTTGTTTGCACTTCTGTTTTATTAAAAAACACTTTAGGATATATTGTAACATAACGAATAAGTTATATAATTTTAAGGCACAGCCTCATCTTATTTCTGAGAGAGTTGTGAAGCAACTATGAAGCGACTGGATCGTTGGTTGGCCTGATCATGTGGTCCCGGGTTCAAATCCCGTGTCGGACCATAATCAGTTATTGGGTTTTTCTGAAAACAACTCTCAGAAGCACCCCGGTGTCAGGAGACGGCGGTGTTTCACGTTCGTGTTATGGTTCTGTCTGGAGAACATTACAATTAATAAATATGGATATTATGTTATCATATTCAAAGTTTCGAATTGCCACAAACACTGTTGAGGAAATTACGTAATATTTTTATTGTCTCCTAAATAGATCACGCATAATTATTGATTACATAGGAAATATAACGTGGGTATCTCAAGTCACGACAGATCGTGGAAAGCATGTCAAGCCCTTGCGGGGGCGACATATTGAGACATAATATCATCCCACGCATATTAAGAGTTAATTTGTATTAGTTTTCGTATTTTATAACAAACAAGGAGCAAATCTTGCAAAGTCAGTACTTATGTGTTGTTGACACGTTTTACATGATATGTACATGGTTTTTTTTTATAGAATAAGTGTGACAAACGAGCACACAGTCCACATGATTATAAGTGGACGGTGTGGCCCTTACACATCTAAATTTATCCTCGATTAAGATCCAATATGCAGATTCTTTGTCACACCTGAGGACTAAGATGGAATACCTCGTTTCCAATAGAAAGGGAATTAATTTTAGGTCATACAAACATATTATACATTGATCTGTGCGTGATTCGATCCCGGCTCCACGCGGTGTCGCAGAATAACGCTAAGCCAGTGCTCCCAAGCCGGTTCTTATATGTGATCTAAAGTGACGACGATCGATGTAGTTTTGTCGGCTCTGTGGCGCAGTAATTCAGCATTGAGTTGCGTCACTGATAGCTGCGGGTTCGAATTCCGCACGGATTTTTTTATGGATATATATTTGTATGGCCTACAATATTGTAGCGGGCCTGGATGTTTGTCCATTTGCAGTTTTTATATGATCGTATAGATGATATCTATGGGCCGCAGCATCCACTTACCGTTAAGTGTAGTGTGTGCTTGCCTGTCACCATTATTCTATAAACAAATGGTAAAATTTTATACAACCGACTTCAAAATAATTAAAATGTGAACATCACCGATGTAGTCGAAGTCAAATTTATAATGGACCACATGAAAAGCACCAGCTTTCATCAAAATCGGTTCACCTAGAGAAAAGTTCTGAGATAACACAAATAACAAAAATACAGTTGAATTAGGGAACCTCCTCCTTTTTTTGAAGTCGGTTAAAAATATTTAAATAACTAATAATTTATTTAAAAATATATACTACTGGACACCATCTAGCACGTGCTTTAATAATATGAATATAGCATCGCTGGTTTTAGTAGGCATAAACCAGTCTGACTTTAACTGTATACACTTACTGATATGCTTACCAATAGCTTACGTAAATAAAATCAATTATTGGTAATCTTAAAAAAAAACATTGGTCGGTTAACACAAAAGTAAGGCCAGTAGCACACGTCGAAGTAGGGCACAGAAAAGAAAATGTTCTGAGGGCATAGGTAGGCGTTGAGAGATCTAATTATTACGGTTGCATAAGCTGCAGTGGTCCGTAACGCGAAATCACCGGCCCCTGTCTACTGTTTGCTAGGGATGGGCAAATGAAAAAAATATCGATATATATCGTATCGCATGATAAATATCGATATATCGTCATTATTTCCATGAAGTACGAGAAATAGGCCCAAAATTTAATTACTGGCGGTTGGACGACGACAAAAAAACGACAACCGCAAATGAATACTTTTGTAGCTGCTTTTATTGCTTCATTTTTTGTCATCATTATTACAAAATTTTAAAATATAATATCGAAATTGATACGAATTCGATACTCTAAAATAATATTATATTTAGCGATTATAAATATCTACAATATATATCGATATTTCGATATTTTTTGCCCAGGCCTACTGCTTGCCACACCTCGGCATACTTAACGCGTTGAATTGTAATCTACCAGAGCAACGTTTGCCAACAATACGATTACTATTATAAAGGAATTAGGTCTTACTTTGCGGAAATGCATTAAAATTCGAGTAACAAAGCAACAAAGAAAGTGTTTCATAACATATGCAATCATTTTAATATTCTGAAGTACCATCCGCAGCCACTAAATTGAAAGCTCGGAGTTGAACATATGTTGTCCTGAATTCGGTGTGATTTATCGTAAATACCTCATCGGAAACCATTTTCGATATACGATAACGAGGCATTTCATCATAGTATCCTTGTCACAGGTGACAACGCATCTGTATTTTCATTTCTATAAAAAAATTGCTTGACAAGTGGATAGGCGATGGTAGAAATAGGTTCTTCGTATCTCACACGCCATAGCGTTACCAAATCTTTGAAAATGAATCATAATTCATATTCAAAGATTCGGTAATTTTGAGATGCTCATTTACGAGATTTTTATACCTCTTCTTTAGTTCTCATTTACAACATAGCAGGCCCCCGGCAGTGGAGTTCGTGAGGAATTACCCAACCAAACGACAAGCTATACTACCTACCGCGTTCTGGCTTCAACTAAACTTCCACCACGATCTTTACAGCCAAAAGCAACTTTTAAGGCTGAACGCTTACTCAACATACGGGTTCTTTTTTTGAAATTTCCTGAAGTACACTTCTCCAAGATCGTCGCCATAATTACATACATAAAACCTCTTTACCATATAGTGAGATATTGAAATCAAGTGAAACCTTTCATTTCGCCAAAGTTATTGCCAAAAAATCGGTTCATAACTTCATAAATCTATTAATAAAGATAAATAACCTCTAAAAATCGCCTTCAACATCGATAAAAGATATTGAGCGATCCAAATTAGGTAAACAAGGTTTTTTTTTTTATTAGGTAACATTATCACGGTTCTTTTGTAAATTAGTATGTTTAAGCTAATTTTATTTGTATTTATGTATATAGCCGTGGTAGCTTAGGTACTAAGTGCCCTGTAAGCAAGCAAACCGGTTTTGAACGCCGCCGGCACCAATGAAATTGTTAATTGCAGTTTTAAGATATTTACTTACGAAAAAAATGTAAAAGTAAAATGAAATTATTCTTATACCCTCGGAAAGTGTGTATACTTTTTCGACCGTGTGTTAGATGTCAGTATTTATTTTATAACTTTAACAAAAACAAGAAATGGCAATAAATAGCGTAAACCCGACAGCACTTTTATTTATATGATATAGGTACTAACGGAAATTTTTTCTTCACAGCTGTTGATAATACTAGCCACACTTGCGGCAGTAGGCGCTATGCCTTCATATATCGCGGTGCCCGCCGACCAGATCGCTTTTGTTGATCTGAGGGCATTGCGAACGCATCGTGTTCCACGTCAAACCCTGACACCACCGCCGCTGCCTCAAGGGCTGTACGAACAGGACTACCAGCACATACCAATCCAGCGTTATCAGCAGCAACGTGAGTAGCATAACAAACATGTAAAAACTGGTTTAGCCCTTCACTGGTATGACCTAAATTACTTAATCATCCAGAAGGAATTATAGGCTGTTAGTTAACATTTTTATGCGGCCTCGGTATATGTAGATTACAGGACAAATCAAGGTGATTAAATAGAGTTGTTCTTACCTACTTATTTAAATGACCTTTGATAAGACCCTTATACGGTTACAACCAAGTCCATTGCTGAACAGAGGCCCCTCTTATGGACGATATTAACATTAGTTGCCACACTTAGCAGCCAACTTGGCAACCGCATTGTTTAATTTTTTAATTGTTATTAGAAATACTGCTACCCATCTACTAGATTGTTTCACTCTGCCGCCTCTTACCACATACACGCTTATACCATAGTGAAATAAATGGAGAGGTAAGAAGGAACACCAATCTGTGTATGTACTATGTATTTTTATTTATAAAATATTAGGTACTTTCACGAAAACATTCGCTATGTTAACAACGCACTTCCATCAACTTTAATTCAACGTCACATTACGAAACAAAATTACCCGCACGTCACACACCCCATCATTCAATTCAAACCAAAGAAAGCGAGATGAATCCATAACCGACTGCACGGTTATCCATCAAGGCCGTTCCAACTTTCACTCCGACAAAGGATCGAAAGTTGACAACGAACCTACTTTAAATTCAATACCCATTGTGAAGATTAAAGTGGTTATATCAGTACGTTGCTTTCTTCTATTGTTTGATAAAAATCTCTGCGCCATCAACCTCCCAACAAGGATTCCTTACAATTAAAATGGACAATTACGTAAATTGCGGCTAGACTTTTTCGTACTATACGTACGTTTCTTCTCGCGTCGTGTTAGTGTAGTCGTCGTGTAAGGTGTCAGGCGTTCGACGTAAACGAGTAAGTTTTCTCACGTGGTAAAGCCACTCTGCAACACTATTATCGTTATACGAATGGGATTCAATGTAGTCTCTTATATCAAAAACCTGCAATCGTAACAACGTTTTATTTTTTATATTTGAAATGATTTATAACAAATATTTAAAATGATAATAATCTCTCTCATATTTGCATTTATTAATCAGTTTTAGAGGCGGGGCGACTGAATAATGTTTATCTCGTGGGTGATGAGCAATAAATGATGAAGCCAATGTTTAAACAATGCACAAAACATTGTTTTTAGGTTCTGTATATAAGTAGGTACTGTTTTTAGGTACTATATCACTAACAACCGAATTTTATTTATAGAGATAGATAGATAGTGAGATAGAATGTATGTAAATTAATCCGTGTTATCGCGTATCGTACGGCGTAATAATCATAATTCTAAGCCCTGCCTACCAAAATATGAAAGCCACTCACAGGACATTGTCATTTACCAGCCACTAACTAGCTTCGTTCAGTTATTAATCGATAAAATTATGTTACATCTAAAGACGTCGGTACCTACAACAATCACTGCTGCACGCACGTATATTATCTTATCACATTTTATTATAGTTATTCTGAGTTATTCTTTTAATTACCGTATTATTTTATTATATTATTATAGTTTAAACGTTACGTTGAATTTATAACCCTCTACAAATTTAGTTACGATCTTTAAAATAAAAGTCTCTGGGCGACCTAAACGTTAAAAATAGAATTTTCTCAAGGGTATATCTAACTAGATAACTTTGAAAGTAAAAATTTTATCTGAATACAAAACTTCATCTAATCGTTAGAACCGTTGCCGAGAAAACATATAATATACTAGCTGTGCCCCGCGGTTTCACCCGCGTTATCACGTGTCCGAGGTGCGCGACATGACCTAGTTCAAGCATTCTATAACGGCTAGGGTATATAAGCGTCGTCCGCGCGCCCAGACAAGTATTGAATTATTTTAATTTTACATTACCTCTTAAACTATGCGTCCAAATAACATGGTATAAGGAACAAAGTTTATCTTCATAAAATTGTCTTGATGATGAAGTAACTTTCGTTCGTAAGGATAAATAGGTCATGCCTAATAATAACGGTCATAAATCACTTTTAAATTTTCAATATTTTTTTGTCACAAAATACCAAATTATGGCTTATGTATAAGAAATAGACATATGGTATCACGGACTTTTTTTTAGACGGAGTAAAGGTCTATATTTTTCCAGAACATTGTATTTACGTATCCCTAACGATAACACCAGCGTACGCGGATAAATAATTTTGGGAGTGCTTTTTCTTCTGACTTCCTTAACAAACATCCATATTCAAGGCTAGCTGAGTAATATAGCTTAATGCTAGATAGCCTATACTATTCCACATGAATCTGGCTATAATATACAAAAAGAATATTTCAAATCGGACTGGTAGTTCCAGAGATTAGCGCGTTTAAACAAACAAAAAAACAAAAAAACTCTTCCGCTTTATTATATTATTAGTATAGATATAATACAAGAATCACTTGAACTCACATTATACAAGAAGTGTTTACTTCACTTGAGTATAGAATAACCACGATTTGCTACCGTTATAATACAAAGCAATAGAACTGATTTAATTGATTAGAAACTGCCTACTCTATTCAAAGTAGATATTGCATAAGAACGACATAGAATTAGTCATGTTGCAACTTTAGTCTGGCAAGAGATCGTTGCAGTTACACCATAGAGTACATTTCTTGGCTTCGTTACAGTTCATTTATACATTGCTTCAGGCACATAGATTAACGACATGAATATTATAATTTATGTACTTCTGGAAGTAGAACACTACTTCGAATTTAGTACAAATTTATTCTAAATTTTGTCGGCTCTTAGTAAGGGTCCTAGAACTGGTTTTTATGTTAAAGTTACGGATTTTATCGCTTTTCAACTTACCCAATATTTCAAGTGCTTCGCACCGCCCACGGTCATGACGGACTGAAGTGTCGTTCTGATGTCATAGTTTTTTTTTATATAGGAGAGGGGGCAAACGAGCATGCGGCTCACCTGATGGTAAGTAACTACCACCGCACATGAACAACTGCAACATCAGGCGAACCAGGGGAATTGCAGATGCGTTGCCGGCCTTTTAAAAAGGAGTAGGCTCTTTTCTTAAAGGTCCCTAAGTCGTATCGGTACAGATAAATCGCACAGTGGTGGACCGCCAATCATCCAGGTGGTTGATAGTTAACCTACCTTCAGCTTTTAATTGAAGTTTACCAATTAACACAATCATCAGGATCACCTTCACAATACTTGGCGGTAGGACTCTGTTTCTGCCTAACATGGTTTGGTATGGTACCACACTCTTTGTTATCTTTGCCGACAAATAGCAGTGCTTGCACTGCTGTGTTCCGATCACAAGGGTATAGAGCTTAGTCCTCAGAGGTGACAGCGCAGCTGTAACCTTCTTCGTGTGAATTTGGCTGTACATGGACCGCTTAAACCACTCACCATCAGGTGGACTGTAAGTTGTCACCCAATTTATAAAAAAAAAGTCCAAGGTGCTTTTCGTAACCGGTCAGGTAATTTTATAACAGATACTAAGTGATTAAAAAATAATTTACGCAATAAACACTACTTAGTCCATAAGCTCTGGGCCTTTCCCGCGGTCGTCTTACGACAGTCACTGGATAGTAATAATTATTTTCATTTAAATTTTATTTATTTTTCTTCAAGTTTTCAACAAGATTTCAACGTTTTTAAGTAACAAGAAACTTTGTACTTGACTAATAATATTTTCAATCTTCACAGCTATAGGTCTGGCTCCACCACCGTCTCCAGAAGCTCCGGCAAAACTCATTCAAATTCAGCCACAGGATAGAGATTCAGGCTCAACCCCTATTTTAGCAGAATCTCAATACGCCGAAAGGCCGTCCGATTTCGGCGAATATGTCGATTTCGGCGCACACACCGGCGATAACGGTGCCTTCGGTTGGTATGCTGACTACCCGATCAATAATCATGAAGATTCGGGTTATAGTTACAGGGAGTAGAAAAAAATGTTAAATTATGAATTCAACGTGAGTGTAGCTGTAAGGATATAACAAACGCATTTGCATCATCAATGTTCACATAGACTGTGTTTACTTTATATATTTACATTTAAAACATGATCTTATTAAATGACTTTATCATCCTGAACAAGAAAAATGCATAGCCTATCGATAGCTACTATAAATTATAGATCTTCTCATATTCATCTTTAAATATTAACTTGCCTACGACTTAGCTTTTATTTGATACAACAGCTAAGTTCTAACTATGTTACCAAAGACAGTATTGTTCAAAAGTGATATTAGTAAAAGTTAAATTAGCGAATTACCGCACATTTGTTTTAGACGGTGAATTTCGCTGTTTTTGGCACTTTAATTGTTAAGCTTAGAGCCGGCTTGATTAATTTTAGGTAATAGTACACTTATATGAAAAAGTATTAATATTTATAATAATTTAATACTGGACTGTTGACGTATAAATATTTCTAGAATGGTTTATTGTTGAAAATTATCTACCGTATCAAAGAGCCGGCCCTATTAAAGTTCCTCTTTTATTATAATGAGTACATTAACTTAAGTTTTCAAAGTACACTGTGATATGCACCATGGTAGTTTAACATTAACTATTCTTCTTTATGTATTTATTTTTTGTTATTTCTTCATTTCTTTTTCTTATATCTTTATCTTGTCAAGGGTTTTCTATGTTTACTGTTCTTGTGCCTTTATTTTCTCTTCATTTCTATTATATTCTTTTACTTATTTCTAAATTGTCAAGTACTTTTTATATTTACTGTTCTTGTCTTTATTTTCTCTTCAGTTCTGTTATATTCTTTAACTTATTTCTAAATTGTCAAGTGTTTTCTATATTTACTGTTCTTGTGTCTTTATTTTCTCTTCAGTTCTGTTATATTCTTTAACTTATTTCTAAATTGTCAAGTGTTTTTTATATTTACTGTTCTTGTGTCTTTATTTTCTCTTCATTTCTGTTATATTCTTTTACTTATTTCTAAATTGTCAAGTACTTTTTATATTTACTGTTCTTGTCTTTATTTTCTCTTCAGTTCTGTTATATTCTTTTACTTATTTCTAAATTGTCAAGTACTTTTTATATTTATTGTTCTTGTCTTTATTTTCTCTTCAGTTCTGTTATATTCTTTTACTTATTTCTAAATTGTCAAGTACTTTTTATATTTACTGTTCTTGTCTTTATTTTCTCTTCAGTTCTGTTATATTCTTTTACTTATTTCAAAATTGTCAAGTGTTTTCTATATTTACTGTTCTTGTGTCTTTATTTTCTCTTCAGTTCTGTTATATTCTTTTACTTATTTCTAAATTCTCAAGTATTTTCTATATTAACTATTCTTGTGTCTTTATTTTCTCTTCAGTTCTGTTATATTCTTTTACTTATTTCCAAATTGTCAAGTACTTTCTATATTTATTATTCTTGTGTCTTTATTTTCTCTTCAGTTCTGTTATATTCTTTTACTCATTTCTAAATTCATTATACTTTCTTTGTTTATTACTGTACTATTACACTGCCTTACTATATCATATTCATTCATTTTACTTTCCATGTTTCTTAAAGATATTTTTATCTTGTCAAGGATTTTCTATATTTACTGTTCTTGTGTCTTTATTTTCTCTTCAGTTCTGTTATATTCTTTTACTCATTTCTAAATTCATTATACTTTCTTTGTTTATTAATGTACTATTACACTGCCTTACTATATCATATTCATTCATTTTACTTTCCATGTTTCTTAAAGATATTTTTATCTTGTCAAGGATTTTCTATATTTACTGTTCTTGTGTCTTTATTTTCTCTTCAGTTCTGTTATATTCTTTTACTCATTTCTAAATTCATTATACTTTCTTTGTTTATTACTGTACTATTACACTGCCTTACTATATCATATTCATTCATTTTACTTTCCATGTTTCTTGAAGTTACACATATCTTTCTTCCATATTATTGCAATACAGTTAAACGGCTTTACTCGTAATCGTTGGCTACTGCTTACATAAATTAACTCTTTATTAATTATCTTTATATCTGTCTCTATTTCTTGTCTTTTAGTGAAAAAGAGGGAGAGAGAGCAACTTAAAGCAATGCTTCAATTGCCATTGATTTTTATGAGTAGGACCGATAATCATTATTTTTCTAATTTTTTAAATTTTTCATTTTATTTCTGATCACACAATGTCATACTTCATTTCTACGTTTATTTTTATTACTTTACTTCACTGCATTCTATTATAAATCATGTTCTAAAGCTATTCATTATTTTGTATACCTTGCTTTCATTTATTTATAGTATAGATTCTATCGTGTTTACGAACTTTTTGCTTCGATTCTTTTATATACTTATATATTTTTTAGTTGATGTATATTTTCACTTCTATTCTAAATTCTTATCACATTTATACGACGTACAGCAAGTATCTTTATATTATTTTATTTATTCTATCATTTCGATTCTGCAATACAAAACTTTTTACTTATTTGTTGAACTGTCTTTAACGATTATTTGTCATTCATGCTTATTCTTTTCTACTTCTAATTTCTTCAAACGATATTTAATTTTAATATACATACATAATATACCCTATACTTTCATACAAACTCCAATCATTAATTTTCTAATACTTTCTTCATGAAGATGTTCTACTTCAGTTTTCATAATTCATGATTCATCTCTATCTATGTTTCTTTGGCATAGTCAAGTAATATTTAAAATTTTGCAATACATCATTCCATATTTTTACCATGTATTCATCTATTGTCTATGTCTTCATGTCTTTTTCGCCTTCCAACGTCTTCACTTGCCGCTTCAACTATTATAACTCATATTATTAAAATATATATTTTTTTTATTTACCACGCCTTCAAACATTTATTTAATCCGTCTTTACATTAATTTAAAAGATATTATGTTTTCATTTTCTTTTAATTTTTAGGTCATCTTTTTATCACCCACATTTTTCAAACTTTCTCTTCATTTTTTTAATGCTATTACTTACAAATGTTTTATTTCTATGTTCTTACATACTTTTACTTTCTTTTTCTTAACTTTTTACCTTCTACATCATATACTTTCACTTTATTTTCCTTCACTCTTTCACTTCTGCATCATACATTTTTCTTCCGTTTTCAAATCTCTTCTCTTCCTTTCTATTACCATACAAACTAAATTTTATGTTAAATAATAAATTAACATTTTTCACAATCATCATATAAAGCGATTACGCAATTGTTGATTTTTCTTTTTTCTTTCTTCACTAAACGTCAACATTACATATATTAAATGCGAAGGCTCGCACTATTATGATATTCACTTGCGTTTAGTCATTTTCTTCAGCTTTGTTCTTTTCTGTTGACATATTTTTCCATTTTATCAAAAATTTCTATCACAATGCTTTTTCATTTAATAAAAAAATTCTCTCTTATTTGAAATTAGCTCATTCATTTATCTTCTGTTCTATCATAAAATCATAAATTCACACTTCTGTTTAATATTTTATTATTATGTTTTATTTTATTTTAATCTACCTCTTTCTTTGCATGTTTTTTTTTTCTTTTCTTCATCTACACACACAATATTCATTTTATAAACACACATTTCTGACGTTTTTTCGCTATACAACTATGCAATAAATTATATTTTCTTATTTATATTTACTTCTCGTATTTATACTTTCTCTTCTATAGATATATCCTTCATAACGTCTTGCGCAATAACCTATAATAATAATCGCATTCTTTATTTACTCTTTCATTGTTACATCGTGATTAACTGTTTCTATTAGTTTACATTTTCATCTAGTAGTACCTCCACTACATTCCTCTTTTCCTCTCTTTCTTCTGTTATTTATATTTCATTTCTTAATTATTTTGCAACCTTAAGTTCTTTTTATTTTTACTCTTCTCTTATCTTTTGTCTTTATCACTTATATTCTATTTTTTCTTCATCACTTTTTATCTACTATCTACTGTATCTTCTGTTTACTTATATCTTTTACTTACAACTTTTTTTCTTTATCACTTTTTATCTACTATCTACTGTATCTTCTATTTACTTATATCTCTTACTTACAACTTTTTACCCACCATTACCTTTATAATACTATTTATTATACTTTTTCTTGCTTTGTTCTATTATTTATATTTCAATTCCCGGTTATCTTTCAATCTTAAGCTCTTTTTATTTTCACCTTTTTTACTTATCTTTTCTTTTTCTTTCATCATTTATATACTATGTTTTTCTTTCTCAGTTTTTATCTACTATATCTTCTATTTACTTACATTTATTGACTACCTACTTACCTTTTCTTCTTTTCCTCGCTTTCTTTTATTACTTATATCTAATTTTTGAGTTTCTTGAAACCTTAAATTATTTTAATTTTCACCTTATTTTTGACTTATCTTTTCTTTCACTTTACTTATTTTTGCTTTATCACTTTTTGTCAAATATTTACTAAATGTTTAATCCTTTATTTACTAAATCTTCTATTTACTTACATTTATGGCATTAAACTATATTATCGGTCACGTTAGGTACAAAACCGTTTTATAAACGTTTGGCATAAAAATGTTTAGAATTGCTTGATCATTTAAGACGAAGTTTGAGTATACCTACTTGGTTATTGTAACTAAAACATTGTTGCTAATAGCCTTAAATTTTGACATATAAATATTACGTATATAAGTAATGAAATAGAAAAAAATATTTAACGGGTTTACAGACAATGCATTAACATTAAAGATTTTACTAAAAATGAAATTACTTTTATATAAACTTTACTACTACTAACTGACTTTATTATAAACGTTACCTCGTTACAAATACTCCTCTATTAACTTTTCTTTATTGTCTTGTATTTTATGTTTATTCCTTCTTCTTTTTTGTTGTTTCCACTCTTATTCAACATATTATCTATTTCCACCGTTCCTTCTAGCTAATTATTATTTATATTTATCCCATTTTTATTACCCGTATTTA